GAACTCGAGTTGCAATTCTGCTTTTGGTTCGAGGTCACGACTATCTGGTTTCATGTGTATGATGCTGCTTGGTTTCTGGAATTCGCTATCGCTCATTTTCCTTGCATCTATCAGGTACATGACGGGATAGCCTATGGGCTCATACATACACACATCACCTCTGGGCACACATATACACACAACTACAACACCGGCCTGGCGGGGTCTATCAGGTACATGACGGGGTCTACTCATGCATGGCTTAGCTCTAGGGTAGGGTAGGGATATAAGTTGCTCCGGCTAGTCTGAGTTCGGCCAGCCTTGGGTAAGTTGGGCGAAGGACGGTAGGATGTGTCCGTGGGTGCCAGCTTGCCTTGCTTAGGTACTGCTGGGTAGACTCTCTAATATTGGGCCTGTAGAAGATTGTGTGAGCCTGGCGTCCGAAGTTCCCGTACGGCAAGGTTCGTCCGCTTCCGCTTCCACTAGGGCTGGGGGGTTGGCCCAGCATTGGTGCTTGTCACTGCTGTCTGGTCCAAGTTGCCCTCGATACTGGTAGGGTGATGGTCCTGAGTGCTGGTCACACTGAGGTAGGATAGTAGGGACAGGGGGTGCGCTGGGAGTAATAATGTGGGGATGGGTAAAGTAGGTGGCCTATCCTGTCAAGACAATCATTGGCCGGCGCTGCCAGCAATCACCACGGGTGTGGTCCTTGGCCTCTACAACACCCTGGGCTTAAAAAGGAAAAAAGAAGGAAAAAAAAAGGAGAGGAGCCCAAATCCAGGCTCTTTTCGTTTTTGAGTGCTGGCTGTGAAAGGGGTGGGAACGGGGGTATAAATTGCTTTTAAAGGGGCTAAAGGGGCTTAAACTTTAAAGGGGGTGCGTTAGTGTGATTCGTTTTTTTTTTTTTTTTTTTTTTTTTTTTTTTGGGTGGGCGGGGGAGAATCCCTTTCCCAAGTCCTCTATCCTAGCGGTGGTAAGAGAACCGCCAGGATTGAGGACTTGGCCGTCGGGCTGCTCCATCTATTGGTGGGTAGATGCCCTTCGTATAGTAGGACTCTCTCAATAGTACCAACCTATCCCTATTCCTGGAAGTAGCAAGCCCATGTTCATTTCCTCTAGGTCCCATTCTGCTTGGTTTTGCTGTATCCCAGGAGTCTGCAGTCCTTCCCAGTGAACACATTTGCTGAGTTCAGTTGAATCTTACTGGGGAGATGCCTCTTCAGCCTCTAGAAAGGCCGCCACAATTGTTCGTGCATTAATTAGCATCGTCCTTTTTTCTAGCTGTTGGTTGCTAAATAGTGCCAAATTAGTGCCTAAACTAGTTGTGTTGTTATTCGGCCCGATTCACACTTTAGCCTAGTAGCTGGGCCCTGATCCATTCAGGCATCCAGGGAGGCCAGGACCCTAATTGCCCAGTGTGAGGAAATGATTTGCGTTTGTGTGCAGTGGTGACAGCTTAACCAACGGCCCCTCTCTTCCTCCCTCACCGGTCGCATTGCTCCATCTGATGATCTTCTGCTGTCGTCCGCCTTGTCGGGTACAGATTGGCCGGTGTGGGGTAACCACCCTGGCCTCACACTCTGGGCCTCATCATTTCATGTCGTGGTTGCTGTTTTCGTGGTATCCTTATTTGTATGTCTGCAATGGTGGAAGCTTATTGACCCACAACCTATCCCTTCTTCCCTCACCTGGCGGCAGTGCTCTATCTGATGGCCATCTGCAGACGCCCCGGTCTCACACCTTTGTGGGGGAGCCGGGCGTGGGTTGGGGTGCCGGGGCCAGCGGGGGTCGGTGGCGAGGGGCAGGGGTCAGGGGGTTGGGGTTGGGGGTTGGAGGGACGGCTGCGTGACTGAAGGGGGGGGGGCGTCTGAGGTGGGGAAGCAGGAGGAGGTGGCGAGGGGGGTATGAGGATGAAGTTGGGTTGTAGGTAGGAGACCTGGAAGCAGTGGAAGGGTCGTCTCTGCCACGAGGATTCCGTCATCCTCCACGACTTCCATGGGATGTTGAGACCTGCATCTAGCTCGGTGAAGATGTGGTGCGGGTCCTGCCAGAGTTGGTTATAAGTCTCCCTGATGGTTGTCCTATCAATGGGGTCCTTTTCTTCCTCGTAGTCCCGTTTGAAAGATTTCCATGCCTTGTGTGTACGGGACCTGATTTCCTCCTGAATCTCCTGTCGAGCTTGCTGCAGTCCTAGTTGGTGGTCCCTTCTTTCATGGGATCATCTGGCTCTTCAGGCCTGCATAAGGACTGGCAACCTCATATAGGAAAAGAGGCTGGTTGCAAAAGGGGACCATTTTGCCAGCAGGTGCTGGTTCTCACCCAAAAGTAGAAGACCCAGATCCCATGGGATATGCAGTCCTGTGAGGGAGTGAAAGGCCGGATCCCACCATTGCCACAGCTGGGTGACCATAGGGCATGCCAGCAGGCAGTGCTCTAGAGTGGCCCGGGCCGCCCTGCTGCTCAAGGTCCGTCCTTGATGCAAGCCAGTACGGGGTGGGCAGGCAGCGGTGAAGAATCTGCCATTGCAGAGCTCTGAAGTTCATTGGCATGATCTTAGAGAGCTTTAACCAGGGCAAACTTTCCAACATTTGCAGGTCTATAGGCGAGTCCCACGCCCATCATTGGGCTATTGTTTGATCGATTGGCAGGCGGGACACGCGGCTCTATAGCACCCTTTGACCGTGTAATCCCAGATGTGCAGTGGCTTAGGACTCGGCCACTCCCACTCCCCTGGGTCGAACGGGAGTCTGGCGACCGTGATTGTAGGCTCGTATACCAAGAGTCCATCTTGTGGATCTCCCACCACTCTTACTTGCATCAGCCCCCCCCCAGTTTGCTTGGCCATCCATACTGTCTTTTTTTTTTTTTTTTTTTAACAGAACCTCTCGATTCTGGCTCCTGCCATTCTGGGGAGCAACAGTCCGGTTCCTATTCCCCCGGCAAGTCAAATATGAATACAATGAAAACACATGCACRCTCCTCCCCATTCTGKCTGAGAGGCCCGAGWGGACGGCAKTGATTACTTCCCTAGAGAAGGATGTACCACCCCTCACCCCTGCCTAAGTTAGCCTATGTCCTCTACCTTCTGATCCTCTGAGTCGCCTGGCTCCTAGCTCCTCTCAGCTGAGTGCKGTCGGATAAACCTKMATGCTAGAGCTGATGTCCAGGGCTGGCATCTAAGGGTTTGCTTGCTCTGCCGGGTAATGTAAAAAACTTATCTGAACTGCRGTTTATACCTTTTGCCTTCTCTTAAACCCTAAACCCTAAGCTTCTCGGGACGTTTGTTGTACGCAGTTTGTTTCTTGAGTGTTTCTCTTGAAAGGCGCTATTCCTAGTCCTTCACTGATTTACCTGTTCCTAGGTTCTAAAAATGTAAAACAGGTGCTGTTCTTTAAGCTCGAAAACCCTAAACCCTGAACCCTCTTCCTCTCTCTAGCTTGGGGTGTGAGCCCTTCCTTTCTTTCCGATGACTGTTTTTACTGCTACTTTCCTCTAAATTTCCTTTTTGAGAACACGCTCGCGCTCCTCCCCCTTCTGGTGTGGAGGCCCGAGGGGCGGCATTGATTGCTTCCATCAGGAAGGATATAACCCCCCTCACTCCTGCTTAAGTTAGCCTGTGCTACTTTTCTCCTATCTTTTACTAATCGGGAATTCCGTTTGCTCTAGTGTTTGGGGCTTGATTTTTGTGTTCCTTCCGGTTTGTGACTCTCAGCTCCTTGGCTGCCTGTTTTTCTTTTTGTGTTAGTCCTGCTGATAGGGCTGCTTGTGTTAAATTCTGTTTGCGCTGAATTCTGTGAGGTTTACACTTGCTGCGGTCCTTGCTATAACCCTGGCCCTGGCTCATCTAACTATTCTTGTAAGCCGTGTCTGTATCTGTTGACGTAGGAATTTTGGATTCCTGAGGGGGTTATGGTGGTGCTTTGCAGCTTTAGTGAATCTTTTTTTTTTTTTTTTTTTTTTTAGTAGCGTAACCTTGCGTACCATCCCGAACCATATTTTCTCTGATTGGCTGAAATTAGAGGGTAGAATAGTCCAGAATATAGTAAGTGTGTCTATTTCTTTGTGAGGGTCTGTGCCAGTCCTACTCTCCTTATCTCCCCCTTAATGATATATCCGTAAGGTGAGTTCTTCTTCCAGGGGCATCTATCTCCTGCCTCCCTAGATTAGTATGTACTGTCATTTCGTGACAATTTTGAAAATCTGGCGCCAGGCAGGTGGGGGTCGTACGCCTCCAACTGGCACTGCCCCTCATAGTTAGACTGTGAGCGGGAGGGGAAGGTCAGAATGTTTCACCACCCAGTCCTCTCTTCCGTGAGGAATTCCGGTGTGACCCTCAGCCAAAAGTTGCTTGTATTGCAATTCTACACAACATTTTTTTTTCCGGTTTTTTTTTGCATTTTTTTTTTAAATTGTTAATTTTTTTGGTTTTTGCGCTGGGGCTGCCCGGGACCATGCCTGGGGGTCATGCCCGGCGGGGCACCCGAGAGTGTATCCAGGCACAAGTTGGCTGCACGGGCCCCCGGAAAAACAGCCTAGTAATTTGGACTATTTGTCGACTTGTGTGTGTCATCCTTGCACAGGGGCCATGCTAATCTTCTCTGTATCGTTCGAGTTTTAATGGATGTCGGCAAGGACGTGAAAGAGTTCTCCACACAAGAGGGCAGAAGAATGCATGCAACTTCAAAAAAACTTTTGAGCCCAGATATTCCGGATTCCGGGCTCGATTTGGTTCGGTATTAAGGCCCAGCCTTCCTGTTTCTCTATATATATTTGGGCTTGTGGCACTTCATGCACCATTTCCACGAGATGGTTATGCATCTGATGATACATTCACGAGGCAGGAGCTCCGATGGCAGATAGTCCAATGCCAGCAATAAGTTCAATCATTCAATGCCATGACAAGAAAGTCCAATGCCAGAAAGAAAGTCCTCTGCGCCACGAGAGGAGGGAGAGAGGACCAATGAAATTAATCATAGTCATTCTCACAGGGAGCTGGTTTCGATTTGGTGTTATCAAGGAGATGGTGGGTCTATGATGGCATGAACATGTAAACAAAGGGAAACGCACACCACAGGCATGTGACGTCACGCCTTCTCTCAGAGGGAGAACTACAGTGGATGCCAGAAGAGCTCAAACCTGCCAGTGAGCAAAGGTAGATAGATAGATGTGTATATATATATATATATATACATGTAGAGAGAGAGAGAGAGAGAGAGAGAGAGAGAGAGAGAGAGAGAGAGAGAGAGAGAGAGAGAGAGAGAGAGAGAGAGAGAGAAGACTGTTTTGGTGTGTGAGTGTGTATGTGCCGCACAAAAAGATTGAGAGATGGATGGCACCCAGCGAGGAAGTGGGGGACAGGTGGACTTGGAGAGTAATACTAATATCGGGCGGAGAAGGGAAGCTTTGAAGTCCTCTTTTCTTGTGCAGGCCGATGCCTTGGGTAGGAAGAATCTACGTTTGCAGTCAAGGCAATGGGGAAGCAATGCCTGCCTTGTGTCGTTCCCGATAATGCTGTTCCTCCTTATCGTTGCTCTTCAGCTCGTTTTCGACAAACTCCTTTTTGGCGGCTCTGATTTCAAATGTGGATGCAGCAAAGAGGGAGTATGTGGCTTGGAGTACTCCAACACCAACCAGATTCCCTGGTGCGCCATCCCTAACCCTTTCCTCAACCCCGCCCTCTTGCAGATGCCCAACGTTCCAATCGGCCAGAAGATAGACCAATTAACTGCCATCATACCGGTGGCAGGTGTCGACCAGAGAGTGGCGGAGGCCATTGGAAACAGATTACTGGAAAGGAACGATGGCCTGGCAGGGGGTACCAGCGGTGTGGTCCCCCCGGGGGTTGACGTTGACGTCAACGACGACCAAGGAGACAGCGGCACTGTGGATGTCACCAACCCACTGACCGCCATATCCGTCCTTCCTCTGCCTGATAAGGGTGGACTCACGGCAACTGGACGCGTGGCAGCCATAGCAGGGACCTCGGCCTGGCCGACCCTGGGCGCACCTATGGTGGAGATTTTGCTGACGATGCAAGAGCCGGAAGATCACCTGTTCATTCTTAGCAATCATTGCATGCCGTCGCCAAACAACACATGGCAGCTTGAGACTGTCAAGTTGAAAGCTGAAGTTCTCGGGGAGATCAGCTTCCTCCGAGGCTCCAGTGGGTCCCTCTCCCTGCCTGTTGGCTGTTATGAAGCCCGGGCCACTTTCTTTCCATCCTCATTTGACCGTGACTTCTTGGAGGGGGTTTATCCGGAGTTCAGTGGCGATGAGGGCGGGGCAGGGGGAGGAGATCACAGCAGCAGCAGGAACAACTTGAAGCGAACCACCGGTTTCTCAACCAGTGTTGATGCATTTCTTTACAACCGGTATGTGGATGCGAGACCCAAGAAAGCCGAGTTGGCAGAGGGCCATGTGTACATTCCAGGTGTCATTGCGGCCTACGACTTCAAATCCACGTGCATAAACCATCTGGATCTGCATGTTTGGCTGAACAGAACCTATTATCCAGGGCAAAACAGTGCCCCTGCGTACACTTTGAGGCTGGCTCGATCTTTCAACCTGGCGATGAATGCCTTTGTCTCCTGGTTAACGTCAATTGAGGGAGGAGAGGAACGAGGGAAAGAAGTCAATGGCACCCTCCTCCCCCTCCTATACGTGAAGGAGTTTCCTAAAGTGGGCACAAGTTTGCAGCTTGACGTAAGTGCGTTTGTTGGCCCGTTGTTCTTCACGTGGGTCCTTTCGCTTGTGCTTCCCATCATCGTCAGCAATCTGGTGTACGAGAAGGAAAGGCGGCTGCGATCCATGATGAAGATGCATGGCCTTGGAGATGTGGCATACTGGTGTATCTCCTACTTGTACTTCTTCGTGATCTCTGTGCTGTACATGCTGTTCTTTGTGGTGATGGGGCACATCGTGAGGATCAAGTTCTTCCTCCTCAACAACACGGCGTTGCTGCTGCTTTTCTTGTTCATCTTCTTCAATCATCAGGTGGCGTTCGGGTTCTGCTGGGCCTCGATCTTTGGATCTGTCAAGACAGCCACTGTGTCATCTTATCTATATGTGTTCGGGTCGGGATTGCTGGCCAATTTTCTGTTCCTTCTCTTCCTCGAAGATCCCCACACGTCTTCAAAATCCCTCTTCGCAATGGAGTTGGTGCCAGCATTTGCGCTCTATCGAGGGCTGTACGAGTTCGCCGAGTACTCGTTCGTGGCTAATTACCAATCAAGTGACGGGATGAGCTGGGGTAATCTGTCGGACGAGAAGAATGGATTGGTGACTGTGATGAGAATATTAGTGGTGGAGTGGATCATCTTGCTGACGCTGGCATTGTATCTGGACCAGGTTGTAGACACGGGGGCAGGGGTGCCACAGCATCCACTCTTCTTCATCTACTGGGCAATTGAGAAGTTGGGACAGGTAGTTGGACGAGGAGGAGGAGGACGAAAGACGGCTGCCATAGCCAACAAACCTGCAGCTTCGGGTCTCTCTCGAATGTTCTTCTGGCACGGGAAGTCACCATCGACAACGGCGAGGAACGTTTACGAAGGGGAGGATATCAAGGCAGAGAGAGAGGTGGTTAAGGCAGCTCTCCAGGAGGAGGCAATGGCAACGACCACGACGACCTCCTCCTCCACTGCCACCGCCGCTCTCCAGGAGGAGGCAATGGCAACGACCACCACCACCTCCTCCTCCACTGCCACCGCCTCTGCCTCTGCTTCTTCACCCGCAAAGACCTCGTCCTCCTATTCTATCCTGTGTGACGATCTTCAGAAGGTATTCAAGGGCGTAGATGGCAATCCGGACAAGTACGCTGTGCGGGGGATGTCATTGGCTGTAGGGAGAGGGGAGTGCTTCGGCATGCTGGGTCCGAACGGGGCTGGGAAAACGACAAGCATCAGCATGATGGTTGGTTTCTTGGAGCCCAGCGCGGGAACTGCTCTCATCGAAGGTATGGATATCCGAACGGATATGCATTCTATCCACTCCGTAATGGGAGTGTGCCCACAGCATGACCTGCTGTGGGAGAGCTTGACAGGAAGAGAGCACTTGTTCTTCTTCGGACGGTTGAAGAACCTGAAGGGCAAGCAGCTGGACCAGGAGGTTGAAATGTGGTTGAGGAGGATGAATCTCTTCTCAGGGGGAGTGGAGGGCAAGCAGGTGCAAGCTTACAGTGGCGGAATGAAGAGAAGACTCAGTGTGGCCATCTCCCTGATTGGCGATCCGCTGGTGGTGTACATGGACGAGCCGAGCACGGGACTTGATCCCGCCTCGCGAAACAACCTTTGGAATGTGGTCAAGGCAGCAAAGAAAGGGCGGGCTATCATCCTCACCACCCACTCGATGGAGGAGGCAGAGGTGCTGTGTGAGCGGCTTGGAATTTTTGTTGACGGACAATTTGCGTGCATCGGCAATCCCAAGGAGTTGACCGCCAGATATGGAGGAACCTACGATCTGACGATCACAACGCCAGAGGAGGAAGAGGCACAGGCAGAGGCACTCGCGCTCTCTCTGTCCTCCACTTGCAAGAAAGTGTACTCGCTCGCAGGAACGCAGAAGTTCGAACTCCCGACCAAGGGCGTTGACCTGGCAGATGTATTCACTGCTGTGGAAAAAGCCAAGGCCAAGATCAACATCCAAGCCTGGGGTATCGCCAACACGACGCTGGAGGACGTATTCATCAAAGTGGCGGGAAAAGAAAGGACTCTGTCGTGACAGAGATAGTGGGTCGCGTGCTGTCCAAGTGGAGTGTGTTGATTGCCGTGTCCGTGGTGTGGTGTGGTGTGTGTGGTGTGAGTTGAAGGACGCTACAACCCCTGGGGGTATGCTGGATATCACGGCCGGTGTGGATCCCGAGGGTTGTAGAGGTTAGGAGACTTCGTTTCTGAGGCTGAGAGTGCCGGTTCGAGGCTGGGCGTGCACGGCGGGGCCTTATGCCCTAAAAGCATATTGATCAGTAACTTCAGACACAAGCAAAGGCTGTCATCATTCTTCCATGATGAGTCAGTGAAACTCCGACAAAACAGTTTGTCACAGCCCCTCGTTTGTTGTCCTCTTCTCCCTCTCTGCCTACGGTTTACCGGGCGGCTCTGTTTGACGATATATATATTGTCACATAACTATGAACTAAAAGAGCGCACTTTGCAAAATCGGTGAAACTCCGACGGAACAGTTTGCCACAGCCCCTCATTTGTTGTCCTCTTCTCCCTCTCTGCCTACGGTTTACCGGGCAGCTCTGTTTGACTATATATATATATATATATATCGTCACAAACAGAACTGCCCGGTAAACCGTAGGCAGAGAGAGAGAAGAGGA